TGACAGCAAGTTCATGACTTCCGGCTCTTCAATCTGGACGGTTGGATCAGCGATAAGTGGTTTAAGGTAGAAGAAATTGCGTTTGGACAGTAGCAGCGAAAATCTAGTTTTCTGGTTTCTCTTTGTTCTCTATTTCACATTTGTTGCCTTGGTCTTTGGCTGAGTATTGAGCACGAATTGTGCTATGTTTTGAGACTCTCGTGTACCCTCATTTTGATCATAGTGGAGCTTGATTGACTGGCTTGTGCCCGTGGTTTTTACTTCTCACGTTGAGAAGGTTTTCCACGTTAAAATCTATGTGTCTCTTCCTTTGTGTGGTTTTTGTTGCTGCCATCATTTGTTATTGCTCCTCATTGATTCTTGCAAGTTGGGGAAATTATTACCTGCTGCATATCTGTTTGAGTTTTCGTTTCATTGTGTTGAATTTCCCATCAAGCAGCACAATAATAGGCTATATGGTTGCTATAGGAGTTGATCACTCAACACGGACCTACACACAAGACGAAGATTATTGCAGGCAATCGCAATATCAATGACTTTAGATCTGATACCATGTAAAATAATCTATTACTCAATTCAACTCCAAAAATTATCTCAAAAGATTGAAGCACCTAAAATATTATAAGCAGCAAAATAATAGGTTGCAAAGTCGATGCGGAGCTGATCACTCAACAATATTATCTCTATAACACCACAAAAGTGGTCATATGAGAGTTAATTAATTGCCAAGTCAAAACCACAAATTTAAAATTGGGAGTAATTTATTTAAGTGTATCCTAATTTCAAATATTTTACAAAAATATGGATGGGATTGAATTTGACTTTATTTGACCAAGACTTGATTTTATCTTGCGAGTATTTAAAAACGAATGACAAATCCTACATTATTCACTCTTATCTATAGAAGTTTGCTAAGAATACACTAAATGTATCACAAATACACATACAATAATTGTATGTGCATCTCATTAGCAATTGTTGTCTATGTGTCTTTGATACACTTGGTGCTCAAGTTGGGGTACAAACTTAGTGTACCCCTAGCTTTTTCATAACTTAATTATCACTCCATATCAATTCATCATTTCATCAAAATAATTGAGGTTTACTATTTTGGAAGCTTGTTGATAAGACCTAAACATGGTTCTAGTTCTAAACTGATATCTGAACCGAAATTGGTGATTACATACCCAAACGGGCAATTCTAAAATTGTAATCGTAACAGAAACCTTTTGGGTTGGTTTATGTTGGAACCTTTTGTGCTAGTACCTATGGGTGGGCGCGGTCTGCGACGGCCTGTGATACTATCGGAACCTATCACGGACCGCTCTTATTTAAATGATTCAGTATCTGTACGGGATGAACTTTAAAACAATTTGGTATTATTCTATTTTGAAACAAAACGGTACAATACCATACTTATGCTCAAACCGTTCCAAATAAGGAAGGTACATTACTCAAAGAATATTAATTTTAATGTATAAATTTGTATTAAAAAAACACAACTTTGTTAAATAGAAGTATTGATTTCGAATTTAAACATATCATAAACATAAAGAATAAAAGATAACGAGTCCAAATTTAAGAAATAGTTTTTTTCAATTCATGTAATATCGGACTATTAATAACTATAAAAAAACAATGTCAATCGTAATAATAAATATAATAACAACAATAATAACGAAAGAACATAAAAATGAATAATAAAATGTGTAGTACTCTATATACAGTAAGATAAAATAGACAATACTTCATAATTATTTGATATTCGTACTCCGTATCTAGCTTTGGACGCTTTGGTTTGTGATAATCACTTTTAAATATTTGTATCATAGTCCCGTCCCATTTGGTATCAAGTTCGGTTTCATTTTGTGATGAAAAAAATTAATCACGTTTGAAAATACTATAAACGATTCGGTATCATTACGGTCCGGTATGATATCATGCTAGTTTTGATTTTTTTACGGGATGGTGGGTCCCAGGCTAATGATCGCGTCTACATGCGATGAGGCATCGTGTTGAGTTTTGTAGAAGTTTGGAAAAACTGAACTGCCTTTCATTCAATATTCACAACGTATATATACATGTGCCAAGTCCTACTCCAAGTATGGAAAGGACTACTAACAAGGAAACTAATTACAAAGGAAACTAATTACATATATGGTAGTAAATAAATATATATGCTAACACTCCCCCTCAAGTTGGAGCATGGAGATCACGAATGCCCAACTTGGACAATAAGAACTCGAAGAGAGGCCTGTTCAAAGCCTTAGTGAACAAATCAGCAATTTGTAGACGAGTAGGAACATATGCGGTGGCGATCTCACCGCGCTGAACGCATTCACGGACAATGTGGCAATCAATATCAATATGTTTCATGCGTTCATGAAAAACAGGATTGGCAGCAATAAACAAAGCGGACTTGTTATCACAAAACAAACGTGGCGTTGTCGGTGGAGTAATGCCGAGTGCCCCAAGAAGACTGCGGATCCATCGTACCTCTGCACATGCGTTAGCCATGGCACGGTATTCAGCTTCTGCTGATGAACGGGACACGGTGGTTTGTTTCTTTGTTTTCCAAGAAACTGGCGAGCCACCTAGAAGGATAAAGTAGCCGCTCACAGAGCGACGAGTAAGAGGACAAGATGCCCAGTCGGAGTCACTATAAGCAGATAGCTGTAGTGAGCTGTCACTA